ATTTAATAATTTTAGATACTAGTTTCAAGCTATTATTACCAGAGATAACTATTTTATAGTTATTGTTAACTATTGGATTTTAATTAATTTATTATTAATACACAGAAAAAAAATATATTTAATTATATTATTATAATAAAATATGATGAGAATTTTATCTTGCAAAATTAACAAAGTACTAGTTAAAATTATATTAGGTATCACCAACAATTATAATATTATAGTTGAGAATGTGATAAATGAATTAGATTTAGAAATTAATAATATCTCTGATATAGAAGTATACATACCTATTAGCAAACTTAATATAGTAAGAGTAATTTATAAAATTCCTATTTCAATCCTATCTCAAGATTCTAAATGGAAATAAATAAAAGTTACTGATGTTTTCATTATTAATAAATCCGAACTTGATTCTGTACTAATATTGAGTTAGTCATAATTCTAGGAAAATGCAATAAAAATAAATTTTCAAAATAAAACTCTTACATTGCTTGATGGAACTGATATATAATTAGTTATTAGATCAAAAATTCCATTATCAACATAACTCAATCAGTCTGTAAATGATTACTTCAAGATGATAAAGGTATATGCTATAGTATTAGATATTAACTTAGATAATCAAGATCTTAAGGAAACTTTCTTTAATGACCTATCACGAGATAATAAAAAAAAAGTAATTAAATTTAGCTTTAAAAAGCCTCTGGATGAAATAATTGATTACTTGAATAGAATCTCAACTGGATCTACTAATATTCAAAAGTTTTGATTTGGAGATTTGAAACAAGAGGAGAATTTGATAATGAAATATTATATAAAAGTAAAAAAATATGATAAATTAGCTAGATATAATAAAAATTAGCTTAAATATTAATTTTTCCATGGATTGTCATCTAAGAATCAGATAGAAATCAGAAGATATAGATTGGATCTTCTATTAGATGAGTTAGTACAAAGGCTAAGCACTTTAGAAAATATTAAGAAAATTCAAAATGGTATATAATATTTATGGTATTTGCTATTAAAAATTAATTATCCAAGTATTAGTTTTTTCTGATTAAAGATATATAATATATAATTTAAGAATGATATAACTATTGCAAAATAATGATCTAAAAGATTTAAATATTTTTAATTTATCAGAATTACTAGAACAGATCTTATATTTTTTATAAATTGATTGATTTCTCTATCTTGTTTTATTTATTAATCAGTTTTGATATTACTATGGTACTCTTATTTTATAGTATCATGTTGAATCCTAATCATTTATGGTTTATAAATAATTTTACTTAATGTTAAAGAATGGATAATTGGATATTTGATAACCTCCAGCTAATTTTAAATAAAGAATTTTTATTTGTCATGATATATATATATCTGTGATAATTTTTCTTGTTTTACTTTTGATTCTAGATATGAATACTGATCAGTATTAGCTAATTTTTTAATGAAAATCTCATGTAATTATTGAGGAGAGATATTCAGAAATAATAGTAGTCCCTTATCAGTAAACTAAAATTTCTTTATCTTCCTATTAATGAATTTCTTTATTAGCACATCTGGATCATCTTCTAAGAGACTGTGGAATTTCTCAAACTTCAAAGATATACTCTTATATTTTTATCAGCTTCTTCTGATTAGTATAACCAATAATACTAATTTTTTTCTAAATTATTACTATATTATCTTCTAAGCATAAAAGCAAATTAAATAATCTAATTGATTTATCTGAAAAGACTTTATCTCTTCTAAGTTTTGCTTCTAAAATGGAATTGATATCTATATCCAGTTTCTTCTATATAGGTATTAAATCCCCTATTAATTCTAACAATAATTTATATAAATCAACAAGTTTTTTCACTTTCTTACTTTTTAACACTGCCATTTGATTTATATTACTGTTAATACCAAGTTTTTTCTGAATAGTTATTATATCTTTTTTCTTATATAAAAGTACCTTATATAATTGAGAAAATTTTTCACTTAGATCAATATTATTATTAGTATTACTCATCTGATTGTTATAATATGATAATATAATTAATGCATATAAATATATAAATTAAGTGAATAAGCAAATTCAATCTGAAAATAATTATAACCACATCATAACTTTGAAATCACATAATATTATAATAAGTCTCAGTAGAGTGATATCATATGTTTTATTTTAAAGAAATAGCTTTTTGAGTTTAAATCTGTAAATCAGAGATCAGCATAGAAATATTTCAGAGAAATAACACTCCATGTCTTGTGGAATATGCATAACTATTGATAGAAAGATAGTTGATATATTTGCAGAGTAGTGTACTTTGTGTTTGATAATGTGTCACTTTATATCTGGAATAATCATTACATGATCTGACAAAATTTATTTTGAGTGTACTACAAACATATAATTTAATTTTCTGTGTGATTAGATACTTTATTATGTGTTTGTATAATCATAATCAAAAAAATTGATTATACTATCAAATTATATAATGAATATCAAGTTAAGTTGGTCAATGATATTAAAAATTTGAAATTACTATCTATACTTTTACTATTACTATTGGGATTGAATTTTGATATTTATTCATATAGCAATAAAAATGATAAGTCTTTTCATTATAATATTCACCACTACCTCCAAAATCCTCTATATAATTTCTTATATTTTCTTTTTTATGGTTTTTATTACATAAAGGACAGGGTACTAATCTATTAAAATCAAAGTAATTACTATATTTAAAATTATATTTTAGAGTTAAATAAGAAAATCACTCTAATATCATTTTAATAACATGTTATTATCTTTTTTCGAGATTGTTTGGTAGAACAGAAATCAGAAATTGTCATCTAGATGATATAGGTAGAACATTTACTTGCGATACCCTCATCTGAGTTTCTAGCGAACTGTCATGTAGGATATAATTATCAGCATTTTCAATTTGTGAGGATTCAGAAGTTTCAGGCTTTATCCAAGAATCAAGTCCAGTCTCTTTCATATATGCTTTATATAATCTAGAACAAATTTTATCTGTCTGAGAACTTGGTAAATCAACTAAATTAGCATACCATTTGCAATAGTCATCACTTAATATCTTGCTGGAGGTAGTGTCAGAAGACATATTATTATTTTATATTAATGCAAGTCAATTCAAAATCATGTAGTTGTCAAGAAAAAAAATATCACTATCAACTTGTCCAGGTTTATGTAATTATTTACTTACATAGTTATTTCAATTTCATGTTGTCCACATTTAATAAAATAAAATCCGGCTTCATATCTACCTCTTATACTTTTCTCATCCTTATGACTTAACTTACATGCTGGACATAATGACTTATCAATAATTCGAATTTTTCACTACTAAATTCTTTATATATATCAGAATATTGACTTAATATTTTATTATGAAAATAAGCACGGTCATAAGCTAAATTAGATGGCATATTTGCGTGATCTATAGATGGAATCTTATTTTCTGACAATATATTATCTTTCGGAAAAAGTGTACGAAGTGCATTAGATGAAGCTCTCACCTCTGCATTAGTCTGATCGTTTTTCTCTATAGAGAAAGCGGTTTTTAAAATCACTTGATTTATAATATTTTGGATTTGGACATTAGTCAGTTTTGAAATCTCATTCGCGCTATAAGTGACTTGCTTAATTTTATCTATTCCAACTCCATCTTTTCCGAATAACATGAGAAGTTTTCTAGCTCTAAGAGTTTTTTTACGTAAGTTATCCTGTATGATGTTAAGAAGAAACGGTTTCATTTCTTTATAAATCACTGTTCTAGCAGTTTTATCTTTGGTTTTACCATCAGCTGTAATATCACGAACCTTATTTTCGAATTCAAGAGAATAATAGTACCAGTTTAAAATTTCCTGTTGTATCGATTTGATTGCTGTTTTAAATAAAGGAGACAAATGTTGGGCAGAATTTCCAAAGGAAACAATCATCGATTCCTCCGAAGACATATTCCCTGATTTGTCGCTGGAGTTGCTAATTTCGATAGTAATAGAGTTGTCGTTTTCTTTAGTATGTAAATGCAATTCTTGTATTAAACCTTGTTCAACGATTTGGTTTTTATCAATTTCGTCGTCCTGTTCTAACTCGGACACTTCAGTTTGCAACGAAGGTGACTCAGTTAAAATCACATGACTTTGATCGTTCCCTGAGGGAACGGTTTTTGTATTATTATTAACTTGGGGTTGTGACTCCATATCTCTGAATGTAATTTCATGAAATTGCTGGGCTGGGTTTCCAGCCGATTCGCGCTGAAGCTTTTTTTCTCTATTTCTATCTCTTATCTCGTTACTAACCCTTCCTTTAACTTTCGAATCCACAAAATCATCGACCTCTTTATCTTCTGGCAATATGGGCGAGTTGGATGGACAGGTACCGGAAGAAATATCGTTTTGTAACTGTTTCTGTTCCAATTTCGCGACCCTAGCCTTAAGCTCGGCATTTTCTTCTGCAGTCTGTTCCAATTTCGCGACTCTGACCTTAAGCTCGGCATTTTCTTTGGTGGTCTGTTCTAATCCCACGATTCTGGCCTCGATTTCTTCTTTATCTTGTTTTAACTTTGTATTCTCAGCCTTGATGTCAGAATTCTCCTTTCTAAGCTCAGAAATTTCAGCTAAAAGCTTCGAATTTAATTCTTGCAACGAATCAATTTTTGATTCAGTATCTGACATTGTTTATACAAGATGCGGTTATGTTCAAAAGTTTATTAAAAATCCTTGAACTATATACGGATGACTAAAAAATATCGCGTCGATTTAATATCCGGGTGTAACACGAACCGGCGATCGATCGGGAAAAATAAAATCTACGTTCATTGATATTATCTGCTTTTCTTATAAAAAGAGCAGTAAATTACGAGAATTATTAATCAAGATCACCCTTTTTAATGCAAAATAAAATCTAGCAATTCTTTATTATATTAAATTGGACACGCTATAAACTGCTCCCCAGCACGACTAAATAACCCACTACATTATTACGACAGCTGTTCTCCCCCTTCGTCTTCCTCGTCTTGTAAAAGAGATTCACGAATTTTGGTTAATGCTGTCAAAACTGAACGCCTTCCTCCTGGTTCAGCGAGATCGAAACCAGTCATCAAACCATTCTCAGCTGGCCATCTTTCAATTTCAATTTTCTGTTCTTTAGGTAGGCCGTTTTCAAGTTCCATCCAATACGTTGCAGGAATCACAGCTTTATAAAACGTAACATATGAAGAGATGACGCGAATGGCCCATAATATCTGATCTGTATGTTCCTCCGAGCCAAGAGAACGTATATTCTCACTACCACAAGCGAGAATTTCTACGGCAATCTGTGTTTCCCCAAATCCAGTGCCTGATCCGACATTTTTCAGGTGTTTGTCCTGTTAAAAAAATTGTTTGAGCCGATGAAAATAATAGCCTGTCGAACGGTTAACAATATACAAACCTCTACCATAAGAACAGCCATTTTCCGCTTCCCTACTACAAATTCAGGGTCTGATGACACGTATGGATCATCTTCAATGTATAGCTTGCATAGCGGATGATTTCTGGATTTTGAAAATGCAACTTTAGAAACCATTGTATTCATTGTAAACAGAAGTTACTCACCTGATCATTAAGGGCCAGTCATCCAACTCAGCGATACGAAGCAGATTATCCACAAGTGTATCAGTAAAAGTTTCGTTGGTGCCTATAACTTGAAGACCATTCATCACGACGTTATGCAATTTCATAAAGAACGTTCGAACACGCTTATCCGTGAGTCCTTCAATATTTTCAACATCGAAATCTGGATTTCCAAGTATATGTCTATTGATACTAGGAAAAACATAAATCTCTGGAATTTTGGCGACTGGAAAATAAATTGCAAGTATTAGGTTCGCTGAGAGGTTCGTTGAGAGGATTGCTGATACAACATATGTCTCACCTTCAACATCGGGTATAACAGCGTTCTCGCTTGAAGATGGTTTGAAGTTCACTTTCAGTTTCTCTATATCTCGTTTTTTGAATTTAGGTGCCGAAGAAGGGAGGTCGTTTAAGTCATAACTAGCATCAGAGCCGAAACTGAGCCTAAGATTACTGGTGGCCTCCGCGATAGCTGAGTCTCCTCTGGCAAGGCGTTTGGGTTGTTGACGGGAGGCAGAAGAGCTCGTACTTTCGGTTTCAACGTTTTTTCGTTTTTTTGAAGACATCAAAAGTTCCATGACCTTCGATTTTATCCCATGGTATAGTATGTGATGTGTTGATCAAACATCTGCTGTGTTACGCAATCGATTGCAGGTTACATGATTACATCATGCATGAAAAGTTCCATGACCTTCGATTTTATTCTGTGGTATATGTATTACGGAGTACGAACATCTTAACGAGACGTAAAGTGAAAAATCCTCAGACTTGAGATCAATTCAATCAGTAGAGAGATGAGTGAATTACAATATATAAAAGATGTAATAACCCACAAATGCTTAGTTTCTTTCATAATAGTAAATATGAAGAATATTATATTCTATATGATTGAATAGGTAGAAAGAAAAACTAAATATGAGATAAATTATATAATCATATTTTAAATTTATTAGGACAACAAGAATATAGAGTAATTAATAGTAAGTAATGGTATATAATACTAAAGTGGATACAAAATCCTGAATTATATATTGACAATAAATATCTATCATTTATTAGAATCTAATAAATTATTATGGACAGTTCATGAAAAAATATGTCAAATTAACAATATGATAGCTTAACATATATCCATTTATTTAATTTATCAACCCTGCCTTCTCGTGACTCTATCACTTGAAGCCAGAAAAGTGAATGCAGAATATGTTACAAATAGTAAATAATAATACATATCTTTTTCCAAATATTTTTTTATGGCATAGCCATGAGTCTTTGACTCTATCTTAATTTTTATATATCAATCCATTTTCATCTGACACAAAAATCCCTAGTAATAATAATAGATTGCGCTTATTATTATTACATATCCACTCTAACTTCAAACATGACAGGATTTGATCAGCTCAAAAATATAAGTGACAGATAGGATGTATTAATATTAATAGAATAAAATTACAACTGAAAAAATATTCAATTATCAAACTAACTATATAAATGTAATTTTATCCTAATCTATATGGATCATGAAATCTAATCCAATATTAGCTCTAGTACTAGTTTTTTGCTTAATAGATAGTAGATTGATTCATCAGAAATAAATGGATATTTCTTTGTATTGAGAACTAATAAATTTGAACAGTGATATGCAATTTCATATATCATTTTATCAGTAATATAAATATATCGAAAACTAAGATTCTGAATGTTTGAACATGAATGGATTACATTACATATAGCATAATCTGTAATTTTGAAACAGAAAGTGAGAATAAGCTTTTGCAGGTTTTGATTTAACTGTGCAATTTTTTTGATTGATTTATTGGTTATCCATTCACAATCTTCAAGAAAATAATTTCATATATCTGGATAGCCAGTTACAATTGTACATATAGCTTCATCCATAATTATTTTATTAAATAACAAATCCAGATGTTAAAGATTTACACATGAGTATGCAATTGCACAAATTGATTCATCATTAATAAAAAGTTATCTATTGAGATTTAAATATACTAGATTAGAACAAGATTATGCTATTTTAATCACAGATGTACTAGAAATATTACTATTTCTATACAAAGAAGCAAGACTTATGTATTTTAAATTTGGACAAGATTGTGTTATTTCACTAACATATCTATCAATAATAGCTATACATACATCAAGACTCAGATGTAGTAGCTTCAGATAATATTTTGCAATTTCTGACCCTTTAGAAATATCTTCTTGAAATATAATTGGTATATTACTAAAACTATAACTTCAATCAAGAATAAGAAAGTTTATATTCGGGCATGAACACAAAATTTCATTAAGTAATACATCTGAGATTTTTAAACCTATCAATTTGAGATACATCTTCTTTAAATAATAAAGAAGTTTTGTCTTTTTGCATATAACTTTTTTAAACTTTCTTAATTATCAATAAGAAGATCCAGATATATTTTTATTATATCAGTTCTACTGATAATCTTCTATAAAAAACTTAATATGTCTCTATAAAATTAGAGCATTGCAATAATATCAAAGATGATTGATAAATAAGCAGAATAGAGTGTTTTATCCTTGGCTAAGATACTGAATATATTTTTAAGTAACTCTGAAATGATGAGAGGATGAGCCATATTTATTTTTATATAAGTATTAGAAAACTCAAAGTGGTTTTCATATCTGATATCATGCTTTATTCATCTAATTTTAATAGAATATTCCAGCCCAGTCTAATTGCTAAAGAATTATCTACAGTCTTAGTAAAATCAAAAATTATGAATTCACGATCCTGCAAATACTTATCAATAATCTTAGGCACTTTTTTCAGATTATCTGTATATTATCACATGATTATATAAATGTCATCTTGGCTTCCTGCATCTCAAAATAGTGCAAGATAACTCAGATTTTCATGGATAATTTTAAATATTTGTATATATTTCTGTGATACATATATTAGAGAGATATTTTGATACTAATCACTAATGAAATAAGAAATAATTTATTCTTGTATCTTTTTTGATTTAGCATATAGATTCTCAAAAGTAACAATTATACTTCATTTTGAAGAAAATTTAGTTATATCTGAAATTTTATCTGGAAATATCCTTTTAAATGTGATATCTTCTCAATATGATTTAGAGATATTTGAAAAAATCTGAAAACTATTTTGTATAAGTTGCCATTTCAGCTCAAAATATTTGTTTATTAATATGAGATTATCATTTTTGATATAATAATTTTCTTTCTTACTTTTAAACATTCACTATAATTTATTATCTAACATAAGATTAATTACCATATTAGTTTTTCCACTATTGGATCCTTCATATATTAGTAATCTGAATGGCCAATCAGATGCAAATTTATTAGATTTTATTCATTCTGAGGATTTGTTTAATATTTCATCAATAGCATATACAAATATAGGTATTTTTTCTTTTTTTATTTTAATCAAAAGATAAATAATATTTATTCTTTATATGATAAATAACTTTTCTTCTGCAATTTACTTTTTATATATGATAATAAATCACAAGTATATGAAATTTCAATAAGATCTATACCCTCTCTTTTATATTCATCCTGCTTTTTTTGATCATACATCTGTTGACTATCTAAGTCAATCCTGTCTCGCTTATAGAATATTAGATTCTCAGAAAAATATTAAGATCCCTGGAATTTATATGTCAATTTTAATTCTTTGTTATACTTATCTAATTGCATCTCATTCAAGAATAATAGTTTACAAGATGAAAATTTCTTATCTAACAGATTCTCAAAAATATATCTATATCTTTATTCATTGATATGATAGAAATAAATTAAACATCATTTAAACTTCATAGCTATTAATGGATATAGATATTCTCACTGATACTTTTTATTTTCACAGAATCAGAGATATATATCAAAATCATTTATTTGATCAGTTTTCATAATACAATATTCACCATATTTTCTGACATATTGTTATGCTTTAGCCATTTTATTAATAATATAAATGAAATTAACAAATCTAGAATAAGTATTTTCTTTCAATATACTCTAGGACAGATACTGAAATGTATTAATATTTATATATATAAGCTCTTCTTTCACAAATTCATACTTTGGAATATATTCATCATCATCATCTCCAAGATAATATAAAATCAGTTTATTTTCCGTTACTATAATTTTTCAAATTTTATGTAAAGAAGATGAAAATATTAGATCTATAGCCCTTTTCTGATTTTCCATACCTTCTTTTCACTCTGCATTAGCAAGTAGATAACAAACTGTATCATCTTTCTTTAACCTATTCTCCTCATATTTTCCAACAGGATATTTATATTTTGTAGATGGTCTAGATTTAACCTTTTTTAATTTAATAACTTTTATTAGTGCTAACTCTTATTTTGAGAATTCAGGAATTCTAATAAGATATGTTGAATAATTATTTAAATAATCTATTATTTCTGATAAATACTTAACTCATACTCTTATTAGTTTAGAATCTGAGAATATACTTTCAACACTATATTGGATTTTATAAAATATTTCTGCAAGTATCTTACAAAATCTGTCTATAATTACTAGATTCCGATGACTATATGCACTAATTAATCTAATCATTACATTATATTCTTCCATTATTTTATTTATCTCACTCATCTATTCATATTCTTGGTCATATTATAGAAGTATTGGCCATACAAGTGGATTTGATAGATCATTATAAATTTTTTAAAGACTTTGGCAATGTCTGAGTTATTTTTTGATATAAGAGAAATAGTATATTTAAAATATAATGCAACATCTATAATAGTGAGTACCTATTTATATGTCTTTTTATTAATGATATCATTTGTAAGGCATAATAAATCACATATATATATATAATTCAGATGTAAAATTTTATCATAACTAACTCATAAAATATTTTTCAGTAATGAAGTATACTTTTATCATTCATTTTGGTTATGTAACTATTTACAAACTTTTTTATATGGGAAATTATATTCTTTATCTTTGATAGTATTATATAGCTTTTAAGAATTAGAATGATAATCAGTAGATTGATAATAAAACATACTCAAAATAATTTGCAATTCCTTATCTGAATCAATTCTAATAATAGATATGCTCAATCTACTTATTTTTGATATTACTTATTATAGCAAAGTCAAGAGATAAGATAATATAATATGCTATAAAAAATAGAGATAGAGTCTCATTACTTCGTAATAACTATAGCATTTTGTAGACTTCAACCCTCTAATTGATCAACTCATAAATCAGTTACAGATAAAAAATTCAAGTTAGAACAAATTAACCAAGAACTCCAGGAGATATTATAATTAGAGGTAGCTATTAACAAGTCAAATGAGAAATATATAAAGAATCTGAAACATAAATATATTTGATATGAGAATAAAATTCAATCTCTTAATAAAAAACTGGAATGGCTTGAAAATACTTTAAAGGAAGAAAAGGCAGAGTTGAGATCAGAAATATCATCCCTTAAAAAAAGCTTATATCAAGCTAAAAAGAAGGTCTGAGACAAGATATTTTATATCAATAGTATAGAGAAGTAATTACAAGAATCTGAAGAGTGGATTCAAAATTATTTCTTTGAGAAGAAGCTCTCTAAGTTTATATAATTCAGAAGAAGATACAGATATGGTGAATCTTGATCTTTTTATACAAATTGATCAAGGCTTAACTCAAATTGAAAATCACATCCGAGATGCTGGTACTTCATTAAATAATCCTATTAATATTATAAATAACATTAGAGATCTTTTGAATGCTGTTTGTCTTAATTACCAAAATATGTATTAGAATATAGATAGTATTATAGTCTAATAAGATAATTAGAATAATCAAGTATTGCAGTTGTAACAAGATGTTAATTAAGTTAATCAGCTTATTCAGAAGTGAGATACCTTACAAAATTATGTTAATTAACTTATACCAGAGTGAGATATCTTGCAAAATTATGTTAATCAACTTATACTAGAATGAGATATCTTGCAAAATTATATCAATCAACTTACTTAAGATCTTGATAATAGCCAACAAGAATATAATTTACAAGAGTATTTATGGTATAATGTTACCTTACCTTAGCATTAAAAAAATAATCTAAACTTAGGTATTCTCTTGAAATTATTTATAAGGTATCTATTTATCAGCTAAAACAGAAGTTATAATAATGCCAAGATGGTAAAGAATTATTAGAATATAATTAAGATCAGCTTTTTGATAGATATTACAATAAATTCAAGGATCAGAAGGCAAGTTATATCAAGTGAAAAAATAGAGAGTACAATTTATAGTAATTAATTTTAAATTTACAAGTCCAAATTTTATTATTACAGAATAATATATTGCAAAATTATAATAATAATTGAATAGATATGGTGAATTATGAATTAAAAAAATTTTATGAATATCCTATTAAAGATTTCAAAGAATATATTGAAGAATTTAGATTATGACTTGTAGATTCTGAAATAGATATAGGGGCTAGACATGCTAATAGAATTAATGCTCATGATATTTTTATAGTATCTTTCAAAGATGACTTTAAAGATTAGTATGAAAGAACCATCCATAAAAAAAATTGAAAATTGAGAAATTTACTTGATAATATAATGCAAGTAAATTTAATTAGTATTCAAGAAAGAAATACTGGTCAAATTAGAACACAGGTCTTAAATTATGCAAATGAACAAAATAGTAATATTATAATTCCAACTTATATAGTATTTGATAAAGATTGATCTTTTGCTAATAAATGATTAACTGATCACTTATCTAATATATCTAATGTTAATACAGGTAATACTGTAGTTATACCTAATATTTGACTCAGATAAGTATTATACTAGTTTAGAACTAATTATTCTACAATTACTATAGAGAAACAATGAGTACTTTTTGATTCAACAGTTCAAGAAAGTGATTCCATTAGCTATTTCTATTCTAATTTATGTAGATTAGTTAGGCTTGCTGGTATTGATGAATAACAAATTCAATTATAATTTCTTTGTGGACTTTTATCTGCCAACCAGATAGAAGTTCGTCATTTAGAAATCAAAAAATCTCCAGATGAGTTACTTCTGAAACTTGAAGAAATTGAAAGATATATAACAGAACAATTATCTGAAACTTACTTATATTCAAACTCAGATTCAGTATCATCCAGTAAAGATTATAGAAAGAATAATTATTCAAGTAATACTGATATGACCAAAGAAATTAAAAACTATATAAAATCTATTATAGCTTCATTGCAATCTTAACCCATTTCTATATAACTAACTTCTTAAAGACAAGAAGAATAGTTAGTATGGTCCAGTCAAATAGATCCAGGTAAAATTTATAGAGATCCAAATTTGCAGTTAAATGATCAAGAATAGCTTTGAATAGATAAAATAACAGATCATCTTAGTACTTTAGTGGACCTATCTATATTACAATCATTAATAGATACAATTTCTAAAGGAGTATTTGATAAATTTTCTTTCTTCTTGTCTAAGAAAAATGAAGGAAATGTATCAAAAAATATTAAAGTTAACTTAGATAAAGAACTGGCTAATCATATAAGTAAGTTGTTAATAAATAAAACTATATCTAAACAGAT